TGCATAAAAAAGCCTGCTTAAAGAGACAAGCGAGCATGGGTAGACAAGCTCGCCCAAAACGCAGAAAACACTGTAGCTATAAGTGACAGAAAACGACTGTATGAGATTACTCGAACTTTCTCGGGGAGAGAAAGTAGCAGCAGAAAGGCAGCGTGCCTTCTCTTTTTGACAAACGAAAGAGAACAGATGGATCGCTGGACTCAGTACTTTAGAGAAGGATGAAATGCGCTTTGCTGATATGCTCAATTATCTCAACAGTATTGATATGTCACTGCAATTCAGAACTAAAGTTATTGCGGCAATGAAGGATCTTAAAAACAATAAATCACCCGGTATTGATAACATTTATGCTTAATTTCCCAAAAACGACCCCAGCATGTCTGCAGATGTGTGAATGCCCGTCTTTCACCAAATGTAGGAAAATGAAGTATTTCTAGATGACTGGAATCAGGACATACTTCTCAAAATACCAAAAAATGTGACTTAAGTAAATGCGATAACTATAAAGGTATTATGCTTTTACCTATTCCAAGCAAAATCTTCACAACTATTTTTTTCAAATGTATGGGTTATTCGTGGAACACAATATGCACAGAAGCAAACAATTGAGTGAAATTTAGAAAAATAGTTGAGACCCTATGGTTCATTGGAAGAAGAGGACTGAATTGACGAATTCAAAAAATATCAGGTATTCGAGAACTCAAGACAATTAAACGAGCTTTGTAACGCTTCAAGGATTATTCATTGGGTATTCTTTGGATAAGATAATGAGGTACTTCTGAAGGTAGAGAACTAGAGTAACTACTGAAAAAACAAAAGCTATGTTCATTACAAAATGAAGAAATCAAAATCTAAAGAAAATAAAAGTCAATAATGTAATGTAAGTCAATAAGGGGAAGATAATGTAAAATATTTAGGTCTAGCTTTTGACAAAAGATACACTTGGTTAAAGAATATAAAGGTCAAGAAGCTGGCTTGTAATAAAACTCTAAATGCTCTAAAATTTTTAACACAAGAAAATTAAGTATGAAAAATAAAATTCTGTTTTATAAGCAAATAATTAGACCTATACTTATGTTGCTCCATCGATGACTCCATTAGATAACTTCAAACTTATCAGAATATTGCATTGAGATGTATGCTAAAAATTCAATGGTACATTAGAAATGAAAAGATAAGTGCAAAAGTAAGACAGAGCGCTGAAATTGTTTAGTTCTGTGGATACTCACAATAGTTCAGAATTGCACGCTCTTAAATCAAATGCAATATATATTTCATCTGAAAGATATGCTGTCTGAATAACTCATTATTAGAATTCAAGCTCTTTTTACAATGAGAGATGAAAGCGACAATGCAGAAATACCTAAAGAAAAAACGTTTGAACGTCCTTCTGTATACGTAAGAAAAAGAAAGTCCAATGCTTCGGTAAATACACCTACGTATTTCATAGATAATGAAAATATCTTTATTGTACCTATCAGAAAAGGCATGATAAAAGAACATGTTTTAAACAAAGACCATTATAGAAAAGTGACAGCTAATTTAGAGATTTCTACACCTATTAATTAAAAAGTAGCAAGGCATTAATAGTACATAAAAGAATGGAGGTAGGAGTAGATACTTAAAAAATGCAGAAAGTGGTAGAGAAAAAAATTTTGAATTAAAAAGTCTATTCAACATTTTAAACATACCGTGAACTTGAGCTATATCCTAATGTAATGAAGCTGAAAAGCGGTGGAGTCCATCACACATATTTATTCACCTCACTTTTTTCCATTTTTTTTATAATTTTTATATTTTATTTATAGATACCTGAAGCATCTTGAGGCAGCGATGAGGACGTTAGTCACATACCATGGAACATTTATCATTTCTTGTAGAATCTGAAAATATAACCTTTGATAAGTATTGATTTTGGATGTTGAAGATGTGCCCTACAGCTAGATGCCGTATGTCCATACTGGTTTTACCACATTTTTGTATAAAATAAGCTTATTATCGAAAAAAATTGAAGATATCTTGTTCAGCAGTCAATGCTACGGCTTTAATTCCCAAGGGATTTTATATTCTGCACTTTTTTTGCGGAATAATTATTGTTAGAGTAATTTTGAAAACCCAAAAAATAAACATGTTTTAAATGGCGCTTGCTGAAGTTTTTGAACCTCAAGGGGTTTTTAAGTACAGGCTTACAAATATTCGATATACGGAGACATTAATACCATACCACATAACATCGAATATTGTGTTAAATCTTAAATAAATAAATTGAGTTTATGGCCTATGGTGTCGAAGCCACTACAGTTGATATCGCAGGACCAAGTAGTTAGAATTACTATTATATTATAACCGATGCTAAATGGCCAAAGCCATATCAGTGTAACACAATTTGAAAAATTGAAGTCATAGAAACTAATATTAATCTATATGACCTAATTTGGTTCCACTGAACTTATCATATCACATAACATAACAGCATGCAATGCAGGCCTTACCCAGTTACTGAATGTAACAGCAAAATGGTTATTTATTGACCAGTATTGAAAAGATGCTAGTGAATCAAAAATCAGAAAATATGTCCGTTGATTCCAAGCTAGTTCAACCAGCAGTTATGAAAATTACAGAAAAAAATTAATCAGAACGAACTACATGAATTTCCGACAGAAAAGTATCTACAGCAAATGACACCTTCATGGCGACCTCCATAGTGGCAGAAGACCTATCTGGCCTCATTAACCTAAATAAAAGCGAGATGACACTCAATAGCAGAGTATTAGTAGCGGTTCTTCTTTCCCTCATAATAATGTATTAATCAGGAAATTAACTGGATTTTTTCGAAACTAGCTGTTGTTTAGTTGATTGGTCAATTTGATTATTCCGAAGGTTTATGTTGGTTATATTAAACTCTTCGCAGCTCTTTAAGATTTTCTTCGCGATGTAGTTCTTTTGGGCTTTACTTTCTCCGCTCTTGTACTGTAGAAGAACTTATATAGAAAACTTAGACTAAAAATAAAAAGGCCATTCTTATTTAAATACAAATGTCTTTATTGATAACCTCTGGAATGATATAACTTGTGTATTGTACATATATAAATACCTTAAAAAACTAAGCAAGTTGCCATTATATAATATAAAATGATTTATATTAATTTTATTAATATTGCGAACTAGGCACAAGCTTCATACACTTTAGTGTTAGGTATTGTTACTTCTCAAACATATATACATACCTATGTATAAATCTGAGATTTCACCTCAGGTTAACCTTACCAACTTCAACTAAGCGTATTTACATTAACAATAACGCTAGTTTCGAAGCGTTTTTCATTGATATTAATATTGATATTATTTATTTAAATGTAATATATAAAAATATGGTCTCATTTATTCAAAAATTAAAGCAATTTAAACCAATATTCTGAGCTGGACTTATTCTGCATTTTGCTGCAATAGCCATATGCATACATTATTTAAAATATATATTTCCTGCTGTTATTTATATTTGAAAATACAAATTATATTTTTAATTGCACTTGTGTTTCTCCGCTTTACATCTATGTTGCTAATTTCTCATGTTAATCTTTTTGAAATTATAAAATATATTTTATAAATAATATTTACACTTAATGATCAGTTCATTATCATACGACGTATGCGATTATTGTATAGCTAATTTTTTGTTATGGTTATGTTAGGGTTATGTTATGGTTATGTTATGGTGATAGGTGACATATTACGCATATCTCGCAGACACATCAATTTTTTTATTCAGACAGTGGCAACTTAAAGAATAGATGAGTGCATTTCATAAAAATATGCTTGGAGTTAATGAATCATGTACTTGTATTTAGTGATATCGAAGGAAGGCTTTATTAGAAAAATTATATTCATCTTAGGAACATATGCTCAATTGTGATTAACGCACAAAAGACTTGTGATTGTGATTGTAATTGGTATTTATGTATACCAATTGCTGCCAATTGCTCAAATCTATATTTATGAAAGTATAAAAAAGTTTCATAGAACTATTCAGTCTGTTACTTGAATTAAATGAGTGCCTCTTTTGTTATTTAACATGTTAATTAAAAACAATATATTTATGTAATAGATATATATATATAAAGTAGAATGAAAGAATTCTAGTTATAATACTTAAGGGTTCAGAAATACTGAATATCAACCATTAAAGTTGTTACTTCTAACTTATAACAATTATTTTTCATATCTCCACGAAAGTAAAAAGCCACTGTCTAATACATGTCTAATACATAGAATATTCCTATGCAATAATATAAAAAAAATATTATCACTCAAAAAATTAAAATTAAAATATTAATAATAAAAATTATAGTAAATGTTATTACAATGCAACCACATCATGTTTTTAATGGGTAAACCTTTTTGTTCGATATTTACGTCAATAAATGGAATACATAAATAAATAATTAAATAATTAATACATAAAATAATACATAAAAATACATAAAAGTTATTATATGCCTGTGTTATATTGTTTGAACTGATTTAAAGGTTGGAGAGAGCATAAGTTAAGCCATCTATGTTTCATTTATCAAAGTTAAAAGACTGGTAATGGCCAAATATTTGCATTAATAAATAAATTTATATTCTATATAAGCGGACATATAATATTCGGGAAATGTGAAAAATATTTAATTTGAGTAAAAATAAAAAGAATCGCGAAAAAATGCTTATCATTTGAAAATTTGTTAGTGATAATAGGAAATACGTGTTTCCCGAATACTGATCGTTTCTAACGTGTCATACAAATATCATATATATTTATTTGATATTTAAAAAGTTATTATTTCTGGATTAATTGACAAAAAATTATGAGTTATGAATTTAAAAAATAATATTTGTAAATAAAATAAAATATTTAGGGATATTCTTTAAAATGGAATGATGAGTCCATCGCGGTATAACTTATCCTTATTTAAAACATATTTTGTTAAATTTCTTTATACTATAAAATAAAACCAATATTAAGCATGGAATGTTTAAAAATATCTTAAAATATTTATAATATTCGCTTTTAAATTTGTGCTTCATCTTAGCAAAATACTTCAATTATTTAGTTCTAAATATTTATACTAATGCTTCAGATATTTTTCGAGTTAATCGAAGCTTGAAACATTTTAATGATCAAGTATATTTGTACTCGGGCTTTTGGGTCGACTATAGCGAACCATCAAACATGTGTGAACATAATAAGGTGTTCGAGCAGTTGTTGTTATGGGTACGTGTATTAAACGGAACAAAAAAAAAAGATGAAAGATAAAACAGATTTGCTGTTCGAGCACAAATATTTTCGAACATTTGAAGTGTTGAATCCAAATGTTTGAATTCGAGTATTCTCGAATTCGAGCAGTTCGACGGTCGAACATGTTGAAGCACTAATTTGCACTGGATTTTCAGTGTTATATCGAACACAGTTTTTTTATTTTTGAAATAAATCGTTGTTTTTCAACGCGTGAAGGCATTTAAAAAATTTGCGCCACTCAAATCTAATTGAGCTTCGTATCCTTCATCGGCTGAAGAAGAATTAGTATTTGCAGATTTCAATTGTTCAATATCTAAAGTTGGTGGCTTGTCACCAGGTTTCCAGCGCCGATGTATTCCCATCGACTTCAATTTCTGACACACCGATGATGGTGATATGGCGAATCCTTTTTCTGCTAAGCGTGCTGAAACCTTCCAATATTGAATATTACTATCTTCTTTTATTAAATCTAAAATTTCGCGTGTAATTTCTTTGTCTCGCACTTCACGCTCAGCTGCTTTCAGACGTCTACGAGGATGAACAACTTTAGATGCTGCGTTTGTTAAGGATTGTTGTTGCTCTGGTAGATGTATTTTTTGCGGTAAGTGATTTTGTTGCTGAAGCTGTTGTTGTAGTTGTTGCTGTTTCTGAAGTTGCTGCAATTGCTGATGCTTTTGTTGCTCTAATTTTTGATGCAGCAAGTGTAGTTGTTGCTGTTTAATTTGCTCTTCATGTTGCAATAACAGATGTTGTTGTTGTTCAATTTGTTGCTGTTGTTGTTGGTTTTTATCAAAATGTCTTTGTGCACCTTTATCAGTAGACTCTTCAATGGTTTCGTGTTGTGCTACTTCGCGAATTTCTTTTTTATTTCGATAAGACAGTGGCACTCCTTTAACAATAGCATCTCGTACTTTCCATGCTGTCATTTGAGACACATTCAACGCGCGAGCGATTTCCATTGTGGAAGCGTTTTGAGCTACAAGCGTCTTAGCCATAGCATATTTTTCATCGTCAACAAACACGTTCGGCTTGCGCGGTTTTTTTGAGAAATTACATTTCTCAGTTACTCTAAAATAAAGTTAATACTTAAATATTTAATAATAATTCTGATAGTTACTTATGGTATATATTTACATTTCATTATTTTGCATTGTTGAAATGGGCCGAATTGAGAGATTTACGGGAAGTTGATGTCTAAAAAAATTAAATCAATAAATATTTATATTTGTTGTTAAAGCTTTTTAAAATTACATGACAGCAGTGACAGTAGACGGAAACTGGTTTGCCGCTGCTAATGGCGATATGACAACATTCTCCTCAATCCCATGGGATATCTCTTTCTGGTTCTCAGACATATTTTCAATTTTTAAATTTGCGGGCATATTTTGTATGATTCGGTGTTGTTTCTGTTGTTGTTGTTCTAATTGCAAATGGGAATTATTAACCTTGTCTTTGATTTTAATCTCTTCTTCATCAGACTCAATTTCACTGTTATCTTCACTCTCATCGGGATCGTCTTTACCTTTATCTTTGATATACTCTTTGTTTTGTTGATGATATTTCTCATTTCTTTGATTAAAACTTTGATTGGAAACACTCTCTGCAATATCCTCCTCATCATCGTCATCAACTTCACGATCTTCGCGATCTTCATGTTCTTCACGATCTTCGTGGTCTTCATGTTCCTCAGATTCTTCATTATCACTTTCATTGTTTTCTGTTTTAATATCAATTTCAGTTTGATGAAATTCTGGAATCTGCATTTTTTGTTCGTTGTTTATTTGAAGTATTTCTGTGGCATCCTCTACATTTGGGTCAATGACGCGTTCATGAAGGCTTACACCATTCACAAGACTTTTTCGTAATCGCCAAGCAAATGTACGAGAAATATTTAGTTCGTTAGCAATCACTGTTGTGGTCGCTTCACGCAAAATTAACTGCTTTGCTAACGCAATCTTCTTAGCATCCAATTTGATGCGAGTACGCCCTTTACGTTTATTCCCAGCCATAATAACTCTGTTAAATAAATGTTTAAAAATATATTCAATTTCATTTGCATAATACTTACTTTCTGTTGTGTATATATATTGCATTTTCAGGTTTTCTTATACCAATTCGTTTGGGAAAGTTATTATATTGCACAATGTTTTGTTTAAAAAGTTGTTGTAAGGGCCTTCAGAAGAAAAAATATAAGAATCTTATGCAATACAAAATCTAAATTGTTAAGTAATTCATACATTTTAGCAGCTTTAGAAGGACAACCAGTCCGCTTGTGCCAACCGAGATGATGCCCAGTCGGAAAAAGAACATGACAATCTGAGCACTGCATTGGACGGCTATATGAAAACAAAAATATAATCGATATTAAGAATGTAAAAGCGGTTTGAATACTAACGTTTGATTTCGACGTTTTTTAACACAACGTCCACGTCTAACATGTTTCTCTAAGAATCTTTTATAAAAGTAAGTTTTTCTGCAGTTCGTGCATTCATACACTGGTCCAGGTGTGCCATGTACACTCTGCATATGTGCTTTTAAAATTTGCTTCATTTCAAATATTTGGAAGCAGCTTGGACACTGATAACCACGCATCGGGGTTGTATTATTTCCCATGTCGTTACCATTTACATTAGCATTCATATCATCAGATGGTGTAATTAATTCTATTTCTGGTATAAGGGGGAGAGGTTCATCATCATCTGCCTCTGCTTCACTCCCACTTTCTGCACTGTTGCTCGCACCATGAGCTTCAGTAATTTTACTCAGTTGGTGCTGCATATACTCATGCATCAAACGTATAGAATTAAAATCAAAAGGAATTTTTCCATTATTGATTCCATTATGTATTTCAGCATGACATAGAGGCATCTTATCGCCTTCTTCCTGGTCACTCTCCTCTTTCTCAGTGTTTGTTTCTTTGCTCTGTATTGCCAGATTTAAGTTGCGGTGGGTAGAAGTGGTTTCCACTACTGATCCCACATCCCTCTCTACCTGTACATAATTGGAAGCTTCACGCCCGCCTGCAGACGTCGCCTCAATTTTTTGTATAAGCAATTGCTGACGGAAAAAGTTATCTGCATCCTCACATTTCTTCTTGAAGAGACATGCCGAAATAGCATTCTTTGCACAGGTAACGCACACTTGCTGAGGAAGAGTATCGCCTTTTTCAATCTGAAACACAAGAAAGAATATATTAATGATACTTCTGAATTATTTTTAATTATGTAAAATAAACGCTCACAGCTTCTCTGTAATCGACATTTAAAGTGAGATTCGTAAAAACGTTTTACATATTAAATAAAAATTGAATTGTATTTAGCCGGCAAATTATCTTTTGTTTATTCATACACATACATATATAGAATAAAATATGCTCAGATTTAATCATATATAAATGGTCAGATACAAATAAACGAAATAGGCACTATAATACTGAAATAATA